GAGTCTGAGACCAGGAAAGGCAGCGGGCAGAGATGATCTCCCAAGCGAAATGCTGAGGGAGGGTGGCGTTTGTGCACAGACTGCCCTATATGACATCATAACAACAGTCTGGACCACTGGAAGGGTTCCGCAGGATTGGAAGGATGCCCTGGTGGTCCCCCTTTTTAAGAAGGGGGACCGCACAGACTAACAACTACAGGGGCATCTCACTCCTCAGTGTGCCGGGAAAGGTCCTGGCAAGGATTATTCAGCATCGCCTTGCCAGGCACGCTGAGGAGAGGCTTGCGGAGCCCCAATGCGGTTTCAGGAAAGGGCGGTCCTGCACAGATGCCATATTTTCTGTCCGTCTGCTACAGCAGAGGTGTAGGGAATTCCAACAAGACCTACATCTCTGCTTTATTGACCTGGTCAAGGCCTATGATACCATCAGTAGGCCTGGGCTCTGGGTCGTTCTTCGTGCTTTTGGAGTACCTGACCCTCTGCTCACGATCATTAAGGACCTTCATGATGGTGAGCGGGCCCGGGTAAAACTACGTGGCCGGGAGTCAGAGCCATTCCCTGTACACCTTGGGGTGCGACAGGGATGTCCTCTGGCTCCCACATTATTTAACATCTATTTTGACCACGTAGTTTGTGAAGCCTTCAATAGCTGTACCGGGGGAATCTCCATATGGTACAGATATAATGGGAGGCTAATCGATGCCCGGGTGCGGTCAAGGGATGGCTCCCTATTGCTCAACCACGTTATGTATGCTGATGATTTGGTAAGAGGAGGAGTTGGAGACGCTGCTGCTGAGACTGGAGCGTGCCACTAAGAGGTGGGGCCTTACCATCAGCCCCACCAAAACTAAGCACCTGCCTGGGTATTTTGTACCATCGGACACTCCACCCCCACAACTCCCAATCGGTGATGGGGCAGTTGTGGAGAGAGTGGAGAGTTTCCCATACCTGGGCAGTGTGCTTATGACTGGCTCCAGTTTAACAGCAGAGGTCTCACTCCGAATCAGTCGAGCGGCAATATCTTTTCATCGGTTGCGTAACGCTGTGTGGAAGCTACCTGGTCTGTCGCTCCGCACTAAGCTTCAGGTCTTCTCGGCCACGGTCATTCCCTCCCTTCTCTACGCTTGCGAAACATGGACCCCCCTGGTGGAACATCTTCGCCGGTTAGAAACATTTAGGCTGGCCTGCCTACCATCCATCCTGGGCTTAACCAGACTGGATTGTGTGAGGAGCTCACAAATCCTTGAAAGATCTGGGCAGGGTCCCATCGGTGAGCTCCTCCGGCGGGCAAGGCTGCGTTGGCTGGGTCATGTAGCCCGCATGCCCAGCCACCGCATGCCGAAACAGCTTTTGTTTGGCCGGATTGAGGGGGCTAAGCGGGCGCGGCACGGGCTAGAGAAGAGATGGAGTGATGTGGTACAGGAGGACGTGGAGCTGAGTGGACTTGCCGATGACTGGTACCAGCGGTGTCAAGATCGGCCTCTGTGGAGGAGGCTCGTGAAGGACGCTACTGGGCAGTTGGAGGCAGTCGCCCTCCAACAACAGCGGAGGGCGGAGGAGCGAAGCTCACAACAACGAGCGGAACGCCGGGTGGCTAAAGCACAGCAGGTTGGCACAGTAGGGGGCACAGGTGGTGCATCAGCCAGTCATCTCAGTCAGTCGACCCGTGGCACCTGGGTCTGCCCAGTGACCTCCTGCCAGCGGGCGTTCGACACTTCACGTGGCCTCACGGTGCACATAGCCTGGCACAAGCGTCGTGGTGACGTCACCGCCACTTAGTGGCGAATGGCGGTTGTTGTTGTTGTTGTTGTCACTGTGTGTGTCACTGTGTGTGTGTGTGTCACTGTGTGTGTGTGGCACTGTGTGTGTGTGTGTGGCACTGTGTGTGTGTGTGTCACTGTGTGTGTGTGTGTGTCACTGTGTGTGTGTGTGTGTCATTGTGTGTGTGTGTCACTGTGTGTGTGTGTGTCACTGTGTGTGTGTGTGTCACTGTGTGTGTGTGTGTCACTGTGTGTGTGTGTCACTGTGTGTGTGTGTGTGTCACTGTGTGTGTGTGTCACTGTGTGTGTGTGTGTGTGTCACTGTGTGTGTGTGTGTGTCACTGTGTGTGTGTGTGTCACTGTGTGTGTGTGTGTGTCACTGTGTGTGTGTGTCACTGTGTGTGTGTGTGTCACTGTGTGTGTGTGTGTCACTGTGTGTGTGTCACTGTGTGTGTCACTGTGTGTGTGTGTCACTGTGTGTGTGTCACTGTGTGTGTGTGTGTCACTGTGTGTGTGTGTGTCACTGTGTGTGTGTGTGTCACTGTGTGTGTGTGTGTGTCACTGTGTGTGTGTGTGTGTCACTGTGTGTGTGTGTGTGTCACTGTGTGTGTGTGTGTCACTGTGTGTGTGTGTGTCACTGTGTGTGTGTGTCACTGTGTGTGTGTGTGTCACTGTGTGTGTGTGTGTGTCACTGTGTGTGTGTGTGTGTCACTGTGTGTGTGTGTGTGTCACTGTGTGTGTGTGTGTGTCACTGTGTGTGTGTGTGTGTCACTGTGTGTGTGTGTGTGTCACTGTGTGTGTGTGTGTGTCACTGTGTGTGTGTGTGTGTCACTGTGTGTGTGTGTGTCACTGTGTGTGTGTGTGTGTCACTGTGTGTGTGTGTGTGTCACTGTGTGTGTGTGTCACTGTGTGTGTGTGTCACTGTGTGTGTGTGTCACTGTGTGTGTGTGTCACTGTGTGTGTGTGTCACTGTGTGTGTGTGTGTGTCACTGTGTGTGTGTGTGTCACTGTGTGTGTGTGTGTGTGTCACTGTGTGTGTGTCACTGTGTGTGTGTGTGTCACTGTGTGTGTGTGTGTCACTGTGTGTGTGTGTGTGTCACTGTGTGTGTGTGTGTGTCACTGTGTGTGTGTGTGTCACTGTGTGTGTCACTGTGTGTCACTGTGTGTGTCACTGTGTGTCACTGTGTGTGTCACTGTGTGTGTGTGTGTCACTGTGTGTGTGTGTGTGTCACTGTGTGTGTGTGTGTGTCACTGTGTGTGTGTGTGTCACTGTGTGTGTGTGTGTCACTGTGTGTGTGTGTGTCACTGTGTGTGTCACTGTGTGTCACTGTGTGTGTCACTGTGTGTGTGTGTGTCACTGTGTGTGTGTGTCACTGTGTGTGTGTGTGTGTCACTGTGTGTGTGTGTGTCACTGTGTGTGTGTGTGTCACTGTGTGTGTGTGTGTGTGTCACTGTGTGTGTGTGTGTGTGTCACTGTGTGTGTGTGTGTGTCACTGTGTGTGTGTGTCACTGTGTGTGTGTGTCACTGTGTGTGTGTGTGTCACTGTGTGTGTGTGTCACTGTGTGTGTGTGTGTGTCACTGTGTGTGTCACTGTGTGTGTCACTGTGTGTGTCACTGTGTGTGTCACTGTGTGTGTGTGTGTCACTGTGTGTGTGTGTCACTGTGTGTGTGTGTCACTGTGTGTGTGTGTCACTGTGTGTGTGTGTGTCACTGTGTGTGTGTGTCACTGTGTGTGTGTGTGTCACTGTGTGTGTGTGTGTCACTGTGTGTGTGTGTCACTGTGTGTGTGTGTGTCACTGTGTGTGTGTGTGTCACTGTGTGTGTGTCACTGTGTGTGTGTGTGTCACTGTGTGTGTGTGTCACTGTGTGTGTGTCACTGTGTGTCACTGTGTGTGTCACTGTGTGTCACTGTGTGTGTCACTGTGTGTCACTGTGTGTGTGTCACTGTGTGTCACTGTGTGTGTGTCACTGTGTGTGTGTGTGTGTGTCACTGTGTGTGTGTGTGTCACTGTGTGTGTGTGTGTCACTGTGTGTGTGTGTGTCACTGTGTGTGTGTGTGTCACTGTGTGTGTGTGTGTGTGTCACTGTGTGTGTGTGTGTGTCATTGTGTGTGTGTGTGTGTCATTGTGTGTGTGTGTGTGTGTCACTGTGTGTGTGTCACTGTGTGTGTGTGTCACTGTGTGTGTGTGTCACTGTGTGTGTGTGTCACTGTGTGTGTGTCACTGTGTGTGTGTGTCACTGTGTGTGTGTGTGTCACTGTGTGTGTGTGTGTGTGTCACTGTGTGTGTGTGTCACTGTGTGTGTGTGTGTCACTGTGTGTGTGTGTGTGTGTGTCACTGTGTGTGTGTGTGTCACTGTGTGTGTGTGTGTGTCACTGTGTGTGTGTGTGTGTCACTGTGTGTGTGTGTGTGTGTCACTGTGTGTGTGTGTGTGTCACTGTGTGTGTGTGTCACTGTGTGTGTGTGTGTCACTGTGTGTGTGTCACTGGTGTGTGTGTGTCACTGTGTGGTGTGTCACTGTGGTGTGTGTGTGTCACTGTGTGTGTGTGTCACTGTGTGTGTGTGTGTGTCACTGTGTGTGTGTGTCACTGTGTGTGTGTGTGTCACTGTGTGTGTGTGTGTCACTGTGTGTGTGTGTCACTGTGTGTGTGTGTGTCACTGTGTGTGTGTGTGTCACTGTGTGTGTGTGTGTGTCACTGTGTGTGTGTGTGTCACTGTGTGTGTGTGTGTCACTGTGTGTGTGTGTGTCACTGTGTGTGTGTGTGTCACTGTGTGTGTGTCACTGTGTGTGTGTGTGTCACTGTGTGTGTGTGTGTGTGTGTCACTGTGTGTGTGTGTGTCACTGTGTGTGTGTGTCACTGTGTGTGTGTGTCACTGTGTGTGTGTGTGTCACTGTGTGTGTGTGTGTGTCACTGTGTGTGTGTGTGTGTCACTGTGTGTGTGTGTCACTGTGTGTGTGTGTGTGTCACTGTGTGTGTGTGTGTGTCACTGTGTGTGTGTGTGTCACTGTGTGTGTGTGTGTGTCACTGTGTGTGTGTGTGTCACTGTGTGTGTGTGTGTGTCACTGTGTGTGTGTGTGTGTCACTGTGTGTGTGTCACTGTGTGTGTGTGTGTGTCACTGTGTGTGTGTGTGTGTCACTGTGTGTGTGTGTGTGTGTCACTGTGTGTGTGTGTGTGTCACTGTGTGTGTGTGTGTGTCACTGTGTGTGTGTGTGTGTCACTGTGTGTGTGTGTCTGCAGGTCGTCACCTGAGCCGCTCTTGCTGCCTCAATGGGGGCACCTGCATCCTGGGCAGTTTCTGTGCCTGCCTCCCTCACTACACGGGGCGGCACTGCGAACATGACACACGCAGGTAGCAGACACCACCACGTGGGTAGCAGACACCACCACGTGGGTAGCAGACACCACCACGTGGGTAGCAGACACCACCACGTGGGTAGCAGACACCACCACCACGTGGGTAGTAGACACCACCACCACGTGGTAGTAGACACCACCACCACGTGGTAGCAGACACCACCACCACCACGTGGTAGTAGACACCACCACGTGGTAGTAGACACCACCACCACGTGGTAGTAGACACCACCACGTGGGTAGCAGACACCACCACCACGTGGGTAGTAGACACCACCACCACGTGGTAGCAGACACCACCACCACGTGGTAGCAGACACCACCACCACGTGGTAGTAGACACCACCACCACGTGGTAGTAGACACCACCACCACGTGGTAGTAGACACCACCACCACGTGGTAGTAGACACCACCACCACGTGGTAGTAGACACCACCACCACGTGGTAGTAGACACCACCACCACGTGGGTAGCAGACACCACCACCACGGGGTAGCAGACACCACCACCACGTGGTAGTAGACACCACCACGTGGTAGTAGACACCACCACGTGGTAGTAGACACCACCACGTGGTAGTAGACACCACCACGTGGTAGTAGACACCACCACCACGTGGTAGTAGACACCACCACCACGTGGTAGTAGACACCACCACGTGGGTAGCAGACACCACCACCACCACGTGGTAGTAGACACCACCACCACGTGGTAGTAGACACCACCACCACCACGTGGTAGTAGACTCCACCACCACCACGTGGTAGTAGACACCACCACCACCACCACGTGGTAGTAGACACCACCACCACGTGGTAGTAGACACCACCACCACGTGGTAGCAGACACCACCACCACGTGGTAGCAGACACCACCACCACGTGGTAGCAGACACCACCACCACGTGGTAGCAGACACCACCACCACGTGGTAGCAGACACCACCACCACGTGGTAGCAGACACCACCACCACGTGGTAGTAGACACCACCACCACCACGTGGTAGTAGACACCACCACCACGTGGTAGTAGACACCACCACCACGTGGTAGCAGACACCACCACCACGTGGTAGCAGACACCACCACCACGTGGTAGCAGACACCACCACCACGTGGTAGTAGACACCACCACCACGTGGTAGTAGACACCACCACCACGTGGTTAGTAGACACCACCACCACGTGGTAGTAGACACCACCACCACGTGGTAGTATACACCACCGCCACGTGGTAGCAGACACCACCGCCACGTGGTAGCAGACACCACCGCCACGTGGTAGCAGACACCACCGCCACGTGGTAGTAGACACCACCACCACGTGGCAGTAGACACCACCACGTGGTAGTAGACACCACCACGTGGTAGTAGACACCACCACCACGTGGTAGTAGACACCACCACCACGTGGTAGTAGACACCACCACCACGTGGTAGTAGACACCACCACCACGTGGTAGTAGACACCACCACCACGTGGTAGTAGACACCACCACCACGTGGTAGTAGACACCACCACCACGTGGTAGTAGACACCACCACCACGTGGTAGCAGACACCACCACCACGTGGTAGCAGACACCACCACCACGTGGTAGCAGACACCACCACCACGTGGTAGTAGACACCACCACCACGTGGTAGTAGACACCACCACCACGTGGTAGTAGACACCACCACCACGTGGTAGTAGACACCACCACCACGTGGTAGTAGACACCACCACCACGTGGTAGTAGACACCACCACCACGTGGTAGTAGACACCACCACCACGTGGTAGTAGACACCACCACCACGTGGTAGTAGACACCACCACCACGTGGTAGTAGACACCACCACCACGTGGTAGTAGACACCACCACCACGTGGTAGTAGACACCACCACACAGGTAGTCTGTGTGAGCGTGTGTGTGTGTGTGTGTCTGTCTGTGTGGGCGTGAGCGTGTGTGTGTGTCTGTGTCTGTTTGTGTGGGCGTGAGCGTGTGTGTGTGTCTGTGTCTGTCTGTGTGGGCGTGAGCGTGTGTGTGTGTCTGTGTCTGTCTGTGTGGGCGTGAGTGTGTCTGTGTGTGTGTCTGTCTGTGTGGGCGTGAGTGTGTCTGTGTGTGTGTCTGTCTGTGTGGGCGTGAGTGTGTCTGTGTGTGTGTCTGTCTGTGTGGGCGTGAGTGTGTCTGTGTGTGTGTCTGTCTGTGTGGGCGTGAGCGTGTCTGTGTGTGTGTCTGTCTGTGTGGGCGTGAGCGTGTCTGTGTGTGTGTCTGTCTGTGTGGGCGTGAGCGTGTCTGTGTGTCTGTGTCTGTCTGTGTGGGCGTGAGCGTGTCTGTGTGTCTGTGTCTGTCTGTGTGGGCGTGAGCGTGTCTGTGTGTGTGTCTGTCTGTGTGGGCGTGAGTGTGTCTGTGTGTGTGTCTGTTTGTGTGGGCGTGAGTGTGTCTGTGTGTCTGTCTGTGTGGGCGTGAGTGTGTCTGTGTGTGTGTCTGTCTGTGTGGGCGTGAGCGTGTCTGTGTGGGCGTGAGCGTGTCTGTGTGTGGGTGCGAGCGTGTCACACTGAGTGTCCGGCAAAAACAACCCCCTATACCTCCTAAGTGCCGGACGGCAACGTTGTGGTGGGCATTGCCGTGGGGGGGGGGGGGGGGGCGAGGGCCAATTCCGATTGGCCATTCCCCTCATGGCGTTTGTCACCACCACAACGGCCAAGTGGGGGCTCTGGACGGGTGCGAGGGGCTGGTAACCCCTCCACCCTCAAGTAATTACCGCCAATCCACGACCACAAAATATCTAATTTATGAGCTTGTGCCGGAGGCCCCGGGGGGCCAAGCGTCTATGATGTCTCCTGGCCAAACGCCATCTGGCGGAGCCAGGAGACTGAATCTCTACCCTCGGGTACTCCTCCAGAAACAACGAAAAGCCACTACGGATGGCCACGTGGAATGTTCGAACGCTCACTGCGGAGGAGAGGCTGCCGCTCCTCTGTCGGGAGCTGGAAGGGTACCGCCTGGATCTCTGTGGTATTCAGGAGGTCCGGTGGACCGGCTCTGGCTCCTGCCACCATGAGGGGTGGACAGTCCTCTACTCGGGGCAGGAGACTGCCAAACAACAGGGTGTGGCTCTTCTTCTGAACAAAATAATGAAGGGGGCGTGGGACAGTGGCGCTGAGGTGTGGGAAGCTGTAAGCCCCAGACTACTTTGGGCTCGCCTTCCCATCAACCGGAGGGATGCAGGCAAAGTCGATGAGTCAGATGCCTTCTATGACCTCCTGTCACAGGTGCTGGCTAAAGTAGCCCCTCGGGATAGAGTCATCTTGTTGGGTGACTTCAATGCCCGAGTTGGTCATGATGCTGCCACCTGGTCTGGAGTGATTGGAGGGCATGGGCCAGATCAGCTCAAATAACAATGGTAGGAGGCTGCTAGATTTTTGTGCAGCCCATGGGCTTGTAATTACCAACATGCTGTTCTGGCATCAGCACATCCACATACCATCATGGATGCATGCTGGGTCCAAGCAAGAACATCTGCTGGACTATATAGTGACGGAACAGCGGATGCGAGCCCATGTCCTTGACACCAGGACCTACCGTGGAGCTGATCTGCCCACTGATCATCGACTTGTCATCTGTAAGATGCACCTGCCATTCTTCCACTCTGGTGGTGTGGGTGCACACCCAGGACCCCATTCAAACCCATAGTGGCCTGGTCCCAGCTAACTGATGAAAGTTGCAAGCGATAATTTAATTATCGCTTGCGGCTGGGGTTGGCATCGTCTCCCACTCCTCCAGATGTCGAGGGTAAATGGGCGATGTTTAGGACTGTGATTCAGGCAGCTGCAATGGCTGCCTTGGGTACATGGTCCAGACCTCCCCAGAGACCCTGGCTGACAGAGGAGGTGTTCAAACTGGCTGAGAAAAAGCGATAGGCCCACTGTCATCGTCTACAGCATCCCACGTCACTCCATCCCAGAGATGGAGTGACGTGGTACATGAGGACGTGGAGCTGAGTGGACTTGCCGATGACTGGTACCAGCGGTGTCAAGATCGGCCTCTGTGGAGGAGGCTCGTGAAGGACGCTACTGGGCATTTGGAGGCAGTCGCCCTCCAACAACAACGGAGGGCGGAGGAGCGACGCTCACAACAACGAGCGAAGCACCAGGTGGCTGAAGCACAGCAGGTTGGCACAGTAGGGGGCACAGGTGGTGCATCAGCCAGTCATCTCAGTCAGTCGACCCGTGGCACCTACTGGGTCTGCCCCGTGACCTCCTGCCAGCGGGCGTTCGACACTTCACGTGGCCTCAAGGTGCACATAGCCTGGCACAAGCGTCGTGGTGACGTCACCGCCACTTTGTGTTACAGGGCTTGTGAGGGTGGAGTGTCACACGGAGTGTGGGTGTGGAGGAGCGACTGTGTTCTCTGTCGATGCGGATCGGGAATTCTCCACTGCATCTCGGAAATCTACGCCGACTGTGGTGAGCTCACTCACCCGCTCACTCACCCACTCACCTGCTCGCTCACCTGCTCACCCATTCGCTCACTCGCCCACCCACTCACTCTCACTCACCCTCACTCACCCACTCACTCACTCTCACTCACCCACCTGCTCACTCGCTCGCTCACTCACTCATGATGATGATGATGATGTTGATGATGTTTATGTTGATGATGATGTTGTTGATGATGTTGTTGATGATGTTGTTGATGGTGATGATAGGTGATGATGATGGTGATGATGATGATGTTGATGATGATGATGATGTTGATGATGGTGATGATGTTGATGTTGATGATGATGGTGATAATGTTGATGATGATGGTGATGATGATGGTGATGATGTTGATGATGATGATGGTGATAATGTTGATGTAGATGATGATGGTGATGATGATGTTGATGGTGATGATGATGATGGTGATGATGTTGATGATGATGATGGTGATAATGTTGATGATGATGATGGTGATAATGTTGATGATGATGATGGTGATAATGTTGATGATGATGATTGTGATAATGTTGATGATGATGGTGATAATGTTGATGATGGTGATGTTGATGATGATGGTGATGATGATGATGTCGACCCCACAGAGGATGGACCTCCCATCGATGCAATCAGCCTCCTGGCAAGATCCTCCCATGGACCATCATCGTCGTCATCATCATCATCATCACCATCATCCACCTCCTCCATCCTCCTACTCCTCATCCTCCTCCATCTCCTCTTTAACTTCCTCCCTCCACATCACCCCGTCTAGCACCACCATCACCAACACCACCACCACCACCATTAAAGAAGGTCCCCCAGGTAGCCTGTAACAGACTGTAGGGGCAAGTGCTGTCAGCGAGCAGCACCTATGAAGGCTACCGGCACTGTGGCACACGAGAGAGGTGGGTGGCCAGCACCACCACGCCCGGCCGTCTTTGTCTCTCCCAGTGCTGCCGATGTTCACTACCACTACCACCACCACGGCTACACCAGCCACTCATTTTGAGGCCGAGTCGACCTAGGGGAGGCCCGGGACCGGTTCAGAGAATCGTCACTGGCGATGTTCACTACGACCACCACGGCTACACCAGCTACTCATTTTGAGGCCGAGTCGACCTAGGGGAGGCCCGGGACCGGTTCGGAGAATCGTCACCGGCGGTGTTGTCCGTGAGCGGGAATCGAACCCGGGTCGCAAGGTTCATAGCGCAGCGTAGCGCTAACCACTACACCATCATCACCACCATCATCACCACCACCATCATTATCAGCATTAGCAGCCACCGTCTGTATAGTGGTAGTCTCTACTACACCCGAGTCTCTGCTAGACCCTGAGTCTACTACACCCTGAGTCTCTGCTACACCCTGAGTCTCTGCTAAACCCTGAGTCTACTACACCCCGAGTCTCTACTACACCCCGAGTCTCTGCTAAACCCTGAGTCTCTACTACACCCTGAGTCTCTGCTACACCCTGAGTCTCTACTAGACCCTGAGTCTCTACTAGACCCTGAGTCTCTACTAGACCCTGAGTCTCTACTACACCCTGAGTCTCTACTACACCCTGAGTCTCTACTACACCCTGAATCTCTACTAGACCCTGAGTCTCTACTAGACCCTGAGTCTCTACTAGACCCTGAGTCTCTACTAGACCCTGAGTCTCTACTACACCCTGAGTCTCTACTACACCCTGAGTCTCTACTAGACCCTGAGTCTCTACTACACCCTGAGTCTCTACTACACCCTGAGTCTCTACTACACCCTGAGTCTCTACTACACCCTGAGTCTCTGCTACACCCTGAGTCTCTGCTAAACCCTGAGTCTCTACTACACCCTGAGTCTCTACTACACCCTGAGTCTCTACTAGACCCTGAGTCTCTACTAGACCCTGAGTCTCTACTAGACCCTGAGTCTCTACTAGACCCTGAGTCTCTACTACACCCTGAGTCTCTACTACACCCTGAGTCTCTACTACACCCTGAGTCTCTGCTAGACCCTGAGTCTCTACTACACCCTGAGTCTCTACTACACCCTGAGTCTCTACTACACCCTGAGTCTCTACTACACCCTGAGTCTCTATTACACCCCGAGTCTCTACTACACCCCGAGTCTCTACTACACCCCGAGTCTCTACTACAGCCCGAGTCTCTACTACAGCCCGAGTCTCTACTACAGCCCGAGTCTCTACTACAGCCCGAGTCTCTACTACAGCCTGAGTCTCTACTACAGCCTGAGTCTCTACTACAGCCCGAGTCTCTACTACAGCCCGAGTCTCTACTACAGCCCGAGTCTCTACTACAGCCCGAGTCTCTACTACAGCCCGAGTCTCTACTACAGCCCGAGTCTCTACTACAGCCCGAGTCTCTACTACAGCCCGAGTCTCTACTACAGCCCGAGTCTCTACTACACCCCGAGTCTCTACTACAGCCTGAGTCTCTACTACAGCCCGAGTCTCTACTACAGCCCGAGTCTCTACTACAGCCCGAGTCTCTACTACAGCCCGAGTCTCTACTACAGCCCGAGTCTCTGCTACACCCTGAGTCTCTACTACACCCTGAGTCTCTACTACACCCTGAGTCACCCTGAGTCTCTACTACACCCTGAGTCTCTGCTACACCCCAAGTCTCTACTACACCCCGAGTCTCTGCTACACCCCAAGTCTCTACTACACCCCGAGTCTCTGCTACACCTCAAGTCTCTACTACACCCCGAGTCTCTACTACACCCCGAGTCTCTACTACACCCTGAGTCTTTACTACACCCTGAGTCACCCTGAGTCTCTACTACATCCTGAGTATCTACTACACCCTGAGTCACCCTGAGTCTCTACTACACCCCGAGTCTCTACTACACCCCGAGTCTCTACTACACCCCGAGTCTCTACTACAGCCTGAGTCTCTGCTACACCCTGAGTCTCTACTACACCCTGAGTCTCTACTACACCCTGAGTCTCTGCTACACCCTGAGTCTCTGCTACACCCTGAGTCTCTGCTACACCCTGAGTCTCTGCTAGACCCCGAGTCTCTACTACACCCCGAGTCTCTGCTACACCCCGAGTCTCTGCTACACCCCGAGTCTCTGCTACACCCCGAGTCTCTGCTACACCCCGAGTCTCTGCTACACCCTGAGTCACCCCGAGTCTCTGCTACACCCCGAGTCTCTGCTACACCCTGAGTCACCCCGAGTCTCTACTACACCCCGAGTCTCCGCTAGACCCCCGAGTCTCCGCTAGACCCCACCACTGTACCGTGTCTGTTGTATCTTGCGATCTTTTTCACGCCGACGGGCGGATTCTGTATTTGAGTTTTTTGTTCGTTTTAAGAAATAACTTTGTAGGTTGGAGAAGCCTCGGGATTGTTTTAAAAATAGCTGAACCGGTGGGTTTTTAGTTAGCTTTCGTGTGGTTTGGGGCTTTTACCGTTCAGAATTACAGGGTGGGTGGGGTCGGGGTGGGGGTGGGGTGGGGGAGGGGTTAGTGGTTCAATCTTGATGTGAAGCTTTCGCGAACCGCCGGAATCCATAGTCGGTAAAGCCCTCGTAGGTAGAGAAATAAACGAATTTTAAAAAACCCTGTGGATCGCGAGTAACTTGGCCTGCGAGTGTTTTTATTATTAATTTGGTGAACGAGCGAGGGGGGGGTCTAGCAATACGGGCAGACGCTTTGTCCTGCCCGGCGTCACGTGGTCACAACTGGTGTATGACGAGTGATTTGACGTACGAGCGCTTTGACGTACGAGCGCTTTGACGTACGAGCGCTTTGACGTACGAGCGCTTTGACGTACGGAGCGCTTTGACGTTTATTTTTCGATTTAAAGCTTTCGCGACCGCAAGGATTCATCTTCTTTGGTTCTTTCGGTAAAGTCACCGCCGCGTAGAATGAGAATAAAAGAATAAAATAAGACGATAAAATTCTCACGACGTTTCGGCCACAACACAAGTGGCCTTCTTCGAATGATCTTAAGGTTGTGTGTTCTCATTCTACGCGGCGGAGACTTTACCGAGAGAACCAAAGGAGGTGAATCCTTGCAGTCGCGAAAGCTTTAAATCGAAATTTAAACCGCCTCTACGGGGATGGATTCCACACAACCTTAAGATCATTCGAAGAAGGCCACTTGTGTTGTGGCCGTGACGTCGTGAGAATTTTATCGTTTTATTTTATTATTTTATTCTGATTCTACGTGGTGGTGACTTTACCGAAAGAACCAAAGAAGATATAGGAATACGTTTTTAACCCTTTTAACCGGCACACAAAAACTGATACCTTTATTCAAGGCATCATGTTTGCAATAACCACAACACATGCAGTCAAAATGCAAACACAAAGAGACAACTCTGATAATAATTATAATATTGGCACTGTCCTTGAATTTGATTGGTCCACACCCGAGACGGCTTTTCTTAGAGCCTCGTCTCCACTGGTGTTGGACCAGAAGACGCCAAAAGGCGTACAACTCAACTTTTGGCGTCTTCTGGTCCAACACCAGTGGAGACTTAAGGGCTCTAAGAAAAGCCGTCTCTGGTGTGGACCAATCAAATTCAAGGACAGTGCCAATATTATTATTATTATCAGAGTTGTCTCTTTGTGTTTGCATTTTGACTGCATGTGTTGTGGTTATTGCAAACATGATGCCTTGAATAAAAGTGTCAGTTTTTGTGCCAGTTAAAAGGGTAAAACCTATTACTATATCTTGTTACTTGCAAAGGAGGTCTCATAAAACCAAAGAAGACGTCGTTCTACTGTTTAACTTCCTCTTAGCTCCGTGACTTTACCGAAAGGATGGGATGGTGAATGTGTGTGTGTATGTTGGAGGAGGCTCGTGAAGGATGCTACTGGGCAGTTGGAGGTAGTCGACCTCCAGCAACAACGGAGGGCGGAGGAGCGACGCTCACAACAACGAGCGGAGCGCCGGGTGGCTAAAGCACAGCAGGTTGGCACAGTAGGGGGCACAGGTGGTGCATCAGCCAGTCATCGCAGTCAGTCGACCCGTGGCACCTGCTGGGTCTGCCCCGTGACCTCCTGCTAGCGGGCGTTCGACACTTCACGTGGCCTCGAGGTGCACATGGCCTGGCACAAGCGTCGTGGTGACGTCACCGCTACTTAGTGGCGAATGGCGGTTGTTGTTGTGTGTTGGGTGTTCGTGTATGTCTGTGTTGGGTGTCGTGAATGTGTGTTGGGTGTATGTGGAGGAGGCTTACCGCCGCCTTCGCTCGGAGGTTCGGAGAGCCGTGAGGCGCTGCAAGGATGGGTGGTGGTCGCGGGTTGCTGAGGAGATGGAGTCTGCCTCAGTGGCCCGTGATCACAAATCGCTATTTAACTCCATCAAAAAAGTAACCTGCAGCGCAACACCTATTACCATCAGGGAAAAAAACGGTGATCCAATCTCCGACCCCCAGCAACAGGTTTGCAGATTTGCTGAGCATTTCTGTGAGGTCCTGGGGGAGGGAAAATCCCTCAGCCAGGAAAACATCGTGGGACAAAGTGAGGATGACCCTGCTCAGGCTGCGGTGCCTCAAATATTGGAGGAAGTTACCCCCTGTGAGTGGCTGGCTGAGGTGCCATCTGTTGAGGAAGTACTGAAGGCGATCCGGAGTCTGAGATCAGGAAAGGCACCGGGCAAAGATGATCTCCCAAGCGAAATGCTGAGGGAGGGTGGGGTTTGTGCACAGACTGCCCTATATGACATCATAACAGTCTGGACCACTGGACGGGTTCCCCAGGATTGGAAGGATGCCCTGGTGGTCCCCCTCTTTAAGAAGGGGGACCGCACGGACTGTAACACCTACAGGGGCATCTCACTCCTCAGTGTGCTGGGAAAGGTCCTAGCAAGGATTATTCAACATCGCCTTGCCAGGCACGCTGAGGAGAGGCTTGCGGAGCCCCAATGCGGTTTCA